TTTTTTTTATCTAATGTAATAAGTGTAGTTTACACACATCGATCCAAGTGACGCCCATTTAGGGGATTTTATCTCAGTCACTATAAAACTCACATGTGTCATGGGTAATCAAAACATTGTTTCCAGTAAAGACACGGCTAAAGCTAAAGCTACTTTGTCTCTAGTGCATGAAAGAATAGATAATAATAGAAACACAATAAAAGCACAGCTCAGATGGAAACTCGCCCGGCTGGGACGCCAGTGCAGGAGGACGGCGCTTAATGATTCTTCTTAATGAGACCTCACAGAATCAAGAATAGATTATTTAGAGACAGACTGATTTAACTATTGATTGATTATTGATTTGCATTTATAACTGTTGTTGTGAACTTAAATAAAGCTTCTTCTTAAAAGTCAAGGTTCCCGAGCCGTATTACTTTTTCATTTTGTTAAGTTTGCTTGAAAGTGCCCGAAACCTCTTCTTAGTCACGCAGAATGTTTGTGTGACATGAAGGAAAGCGCTGAGATTCACATTCCAGCAGCAGTACGAGGATCTTTACAGCCTAAACCTTTCCACTGACTGAACTGCAACATGTTGGAAGGAAGCTGTCATTAACCAAAGTGTTGTTATTATGATGTTTAAATGCATTATTATTGTATTTTAAATGCTTGAGTAAAAGAAATCTAAATTTTAATGTTTGCTTAGTTATAAAAACATGACTATATTGGGAAATTATGATAAGGGTGGAGCATGCCAAATAACCAGGGGAGTCCAGAGATCATCTGGGGGTTCAGGAGAGCCCGTCCAGCCACCTCCTGCTCCACCACCGGAAGCTTCCACGCCGTCGCCTGCAGCGCCACCTCCTGCTCCACCACCCATGGCTTCCACGCCGTCGCCTGGTCCTGCCTCGTTCATGTCTGGCTCAGCCTGCTCAACCTCGTGCACGTCTGGTTTGGCGTTGGCGGCCACCTTCCAGGACGCTGACTGGACATCTTCACCAGCAAAGACAGCCTTTGGACCTGCTCAATCGCCACCGTCTTCTCCGCGGTCGGCCTCCTGAACATTATAGTCTCCTGTGCGGCCGTCCTCTGGGTCGACCTCCTGAAATGTTTATAGACCGTGTCCTCTGCTCCACTGCCTTTCATGGACTTTTGTTTTGGACTATTTTATGAGTTCCAGGTTTTTCTTGTGGACGTTTTTTTATTGGTCAGTTTCAGGGCTTTTGAGGGGCAAATTAGGCAGGTATAGGCCCAAAACAGAAGTGTGTCAGTGGAGAAAGGGCAGGCAAGTCCTTCTCTTTACAGCTGCTGGGAATTACTGACCATGACTGGTGGTAACTAAAAAAACAAAAAAAACAAAACAGGTTTACAAGGAGAGCTATAAACAGGCCACTGTGAAGAAGACAGACAAACTGGGGCAGAGAACAAAGAGCACAAAGACTAGTGTGTAACAAAGAGGACCTGATTTATCTGGCAGTGAAGAGCAGCAGCATCCAGCCTCTAAATACAAAGAGCTCGATGGCTCAGACAGCCCAGGCAGGAGAAACTGCCACAGGTGGGCCAGCAGAGCAGCACAGCCCCCTGAGACTTAAAGAGGCAGACTAGTTTGAACATAAAATCTCACATGACTTTATTAAATATACTACAGTTAATGTACAGCTAAATAAAATGGCCCTGCTATTTGAGTGGTCAGTGGGAGGGATTATTGGGCTGCTGCCTTCTCCTCCTGTGAAGAGGAGATTATCTGCTTGATGTGAAGGCTGAACTGGGCTCAGATAAAAATACCAAAGCACAGTTTGTTCATCAGTTAATACTGGCTCTACTGCGATGCACAGCTGGTTGGAAATGTTATAGCTGAAGCGATGTAAACTGAGCTCCGGTGTCTTTTTCCCTTTTCAGATATTTGTGAAAGAACTGTTTACACAGCGTGTGGGCTGAATGACGTCACACACACCTGTCCATGAAATGAAATCACATTTGAACAAAAGGAGGCTGTGTCTACACACAGCTGCAATTCCCCGAAATTCACCTGATGTTTGTTTAACCGACTGAATTACAGGTGGAAGTCTTTTGTATTTAAGTTTAAATCTTTTGTGGTAGCACAATCTTAGAAAGGAAATATTTTTAAAGAGGATTGTGAGAATTTTTCTAATAGTTTTCACTTTCCACATTCATTGAGGATACCTCTTTAAAATGCAGGGGGCACATTACTGGGAAGGATGGATGCATGGATGGATGCATGGATGGATGCATGGATGGATGTGACCTGTTCTTGGTGCACGCTGCCTCTCACCCTGTGGTAGCTGCTACACACTCCCGCCCCTCTGTGAGCCTGAGCTGGATATGCTGTTGAGAAATTTGCTGGACAGCTGGAAGGATGTTTGTGCTTAGGAGT